ATTGCTTGATGACTTACAATATGTTCTAGTTGATTTGTCAATTTACAAATGCTACCCATAAATCTCACATATATACAAATATGATTCAATAGCATATGCAGAGATATAAAATATTTTTAAAAGAACCTTTCAGATAATTGTTTTTTATATATTAAAAACTGTAACCAAATCACCAAATGTCTCCATTAATAAAACGAATTTAAGATACCTGCTTTTAAAACTTCAAGCTTTCTTTGAACTAGATATATATTTCTTAGACTCCCATGATCCAGACTCATCTCAGACTCACATGGGCCATATACTACTAATCAAGAACTATTTTTGTGTAAAAACATCTAATTTATTCTTTATGCAACATTAACTTAAATCAGAAGACTTAGGTTGTATTTTAAATCAAACAAATAACCATTTCTGACCAAATTTTACCATTTAAAAAAGTGCCTAATGCTATTTATTAATTCATCACTGAATCCCATAATTGCTAAGACTTGATCTATAATAAAAGAAAGTGATTTTATTAATACAAATGATTGGGGAGTATTGTGTCTGAGACAATAGATTTGCAAAGAGGCATGGTAGTAGGGGCAGAAGATTATAGTTATATAAGATGCTTAACTTTGTTTATTTTTTTTAGCATACTTTTTACTCCTTTTATTGAGGTACAATTTATAAATAAAATTCATAGATTTTTAAGTGTAGAATTCACTGAGTTTGACAAATGCATACACCTGTGTAACCCAATGAAGATACTCAACATTTCCACCATCCAGGAGTACCCCTGTATCATTTTCCAGTCAATACCCCTACAACCTATAGGTAACCACTTTTTTGATTTTTATCACCATAGATGAGTTTTGCTAGTTCTAGAACTTTACATGTATGGAATCATACAGTATGTACATTTTTTGTCTCTGGCTTATTTCACTCTACATGTTTTTGATTAATTCATATTGCTGTATTTGTCAGTATTCTATTTTAATTACAGAGTGGCATTCCATTGTGTAAATATACCACATGTAGTTATCCACTCACCTTTTCACAAACATTGGAGTTGTTTCCAGTTTTTGGCTTTTCTAACTAATACTGCTATGAATCTACTTTTACAAATTTGTTTTGGCTTTGTTTTTTAACATGTACTTTCATTTCTCTTGGGTAAACATTGAGTAGAATTGTTGGGTTACAAAGTGGGTTTATGTTTAACTTGGTAAGAAACTGCTGAACAGTTTGCCAAAGTGACTGTATTATTTTACACTCGCATCAGACATGCACAAGTTGCTGGTGCTCCATATCCCTGCCAACATTTTATACTGTCAATCTTTTTAGTTTTAGCCATGCATCGATGTCTCATTCTGACTTTATTTTCTCTAATAACTGAAAAATGATTACTTTTTCTTACGCTCATCAGCCTATGTATGTCTTCTGTTGTGACAGGTCCATTCAAATCATTTGACCATTTTTAAAATTGGGTTATCTTTTTATTATAAATTTTTCTAGATACAAGGTCTTTATCAGATATATGATTTGTAAATATAGTCCCCTAAAAAGGAGAAAATACTTTCCCCTTTTTACTCTTGTGATAGTGT